TAAGCTAGACCCTAAACCCTTAACATTAAACCGTAACACAAACCCTAAACCATAAAACTATTATTATTTAATGGGCCTTCGGCCCATGGGCCCTCGGCGGGCAGCCCTAACTAAGGTTGCAAGCCTTACGTGTTAGGACTTCCTAGTGTGTTTAATTTCCTAGTGTGTTTAATTTGATGTAAGAAACAATATTCCAATCTTTCACAAATTGAAAACCCGAACCATAAACCCTAAAACTTAAACTCTAAATTGGTGTAATCAGTTTCGGGTGGTTGGGTTATTTTGGGAAGCCGTTAAACATTAGTTTAATGATGGATATTGGCTTGCGAAGGAAGAATACTAGTTCATTTCAACAATGATGCAAAGCAATATCATCATAACAGAGAATAATATCTACTGAGAACAAATAAATATCCACACAAACAAACATACATAAATATCACTTAGGGCCCACAATTTTCGTTCTCTTTCCACTCCTCTCCATTCTCCCGCCCAAACTCAAGCCGGGCCCACCACGCCACTTGCTCGGCTCGCCTTCTGCGCCGCACGCTGGGCCGGCTTCTACACGGAAGCCCATCTCCAGCTCACTTAAGTGAGCCACCACCACGCCGCCTCTCTCCTCCGTTGGATGAAACATGGGCCGACGTGGCCCAAAATCCGACCCTGTTAGTATCTGCTAACCCTTTAAGCAGTTAGCAGATTAACTTCTGCGCTCGCACAACCTTCCCTTTTCTGTTCGGTCATCTTCCCCATTTTTAAGATTGGAGATAAGACTGAGGCAATCAGATTCAACGATCAGTGGCCACAATCCCCTTCTTTCCACTTCCCGGACTCCCAATTACATAGCTCTCGCCTCCGCCTCCTCAACAGAGCACTTACCTTTTTCTTTTTTAGAAAACCTGAAGATGAAATTGCCTCACTCATCATGCACGACACCACCCATACAGTATCCATCTTCCCCGATCAAGCCCGCATCCGTGTTTAGCTTGAAGCTTCTCGCGGGAAGTTTTGACCATCTAAGTATTGGGTAAGATCTAACATGAAACTCAGGATCAGACTGCAATTGAGCTTCCAGATAGTCATTGACCCATCACGCAACATGTTGGGCGATCTCTGACTCCTCCAGTTTTGCGTTGTTGAAACAATGGTTATTCCTCTCTTTTCATAGGTACCATAGGAGACCACAAAATTTTTGAATTTTTTACTCTGGGAAGACGTCAAACACTTTCTCTTACCATTACCTGCAAATTTTGTTTTCAGTTTCTGTAAAATAGTCAACCACTATACTTTGTCTCCAAATGCGACGACTCCAGGAGCAATCCCAAAGAGTATGGAGTTGGGATTCTCGGAAGCCACAAAAAGGGCATTCGTCAGCAACCCTCGGGATCAAGTCGGCGACCAAAGACCCTGTAGGTAAGATTCCTCTACCCATTCTCCACATGAAGTGTTTAACTTTTGGCTGGATTTTAAGTTTCCAAAGCTTTGGCCAAAAGGAGGGGTCTGGAATCTCGTGCTCTTGAATCATATTTTCGTTAGCTCCATTTAGGCTCTTATAAAGACATTGCTCGGATTTAACAGTATAATGCCCATTTCTTGTATGCATCCAAACAAGATTGTCCTCCTCGTTGTCGCTAGGTAGGACAATCTTGTATATGAGTTGATGATCATTAGGAGAGAAAAGATTCTGCAGCTTGTTCAGGTTCCAGGTTCCATGGTTGCTGTCAATTAGAAACTCAACTCTAAGATCAGGGTCAACCAATTGCAAGGGTGGCTCTGGTTTGAGCTGTTCTTTCTGAGGAATCCACTTATCCTTCCAAATAGAAACACTCCTACCGTTTCCAATCCTCCATCTACATCCCTCCTTCAACAAATGTCTAGCCTTCAGCAAACTCTTCCAAACGTAACTTCCCTTCTGTTTTGCTCTAGCTTCCATCAATGTGTAATTTGGAAAATACTTTGCTTTGAGAACCTTGGCAACTAGGACTGTGTTCTGGTAACAATGTTCCAAAGTTGTTTAGCTAGCATGGCAATGTTGAAAGCTTTTAGGTCTCGGAAACCCATACTACCATACTCCTTCTCATCACAGAGCTTATCCCAACTCAGCCAGTGTTTTTTGTTCCCATTTTTCTCTTCTCCCCACCAGAAATTTGAAATAAGACTTTGAATTTCGTCTATAGTTCCATCATGAAGGAGAAAAACAAACATAGGGTACATTACCTAAGCTTGTGCCACTGCTTTAATGAGGACCTCTTTGTCTGCAAATGACATAGTTCTCGCCTTCCAGTCTCTCAATTTGCTTCGTACTTTCTCTTTGACGCCTCAAAAACCACTTTCTTAGCTCTTCCGATAAGGGTAGGTAGCCCCAAGTATTTTCCATGTTTGTCAACTTATTTTATTCCCAATTCACTGTAGATAACTCTTATGTCTTCAGTGGAGACATTTTTGCTAAAAGTGATTTCAGATTTAACAAGATTCACTTTTTGCCCCAAATCTTTCTCATACTTGTGAAGAATCTGCTTCAAAACTCTGTTGTCCTATTTTGTCGCTCTAGCAAAAATCAGATTGTCATTTTCAAAAAAGAGGTGTGAGATTTTTGGCGCACCATTGCATACTCTCACCCCTTGAATCTCACCCCTTCGTTCTGCCTGCTTGATAAGGGAAGACAAGCCTTCGGTGCAGAGGAGAAACAAATACGGGGATAGAGGGTCGCCTTGTCTAAGGCCTCTAGATGGCAGTAAAGTGTTTGTACGATGCCCGTTTACCAAAATAGAGTAGGATACTGATTTAATGCACATCATCACCTTACCAATCCAATCTTCCTTAAAGCCCATCTTTCTCATAACTTGTTCCAAGAAGTCCCATTCGATTCGGTCTTAAGCTTTCGTCATGTCAAGCTTGGCAGCAAAAAAAAATCCTTTCTTCTGTTCTTCATATAATTAAAGCATTCAAAAGCAGTCATAATGTTATCCGAGATAAGCCGACCTGGCACAAATGCACTTTGAGATTCAAATATAATCTTACCCAGGATCAGTTTAAGCCAATTAGCCAAAACCTTATAAACTAATTTATAAAGAACCCTAAATAAACTTATCGGTCTGAACTCAGCAGGATATTTTGGCTCCTTGATCTTGGAAATTAGGACAATCAGAGTGTGATTCAGCTCCATGGGTAGGATTCCAGATTCCAAATAAGAGAGGACAACTTTTCTGACAATAGGGCCAAGAGTCTCCCAATGCTTTTGATAAAAACCAGCAGTAAAACCATCTGATCCCGGGGCTTTTGAAGCCCCCATTTGCTTCAGAGAAATATTGACCTCCTCCTTTAGAAAGGGGGCACTGAGAATGACATTCATCTCCTCTGTAACTCTAGGGGTAATTGCTTGGATAACTTCACTTTGAGATTCAAATATAATCTTACCCAGGATCAATTTAAGCCAATTAGCCAAAACCTTAGAAACTAATTTATAAAGAACCCTACATAAACTTATCGGTCTGAACTCAGCAGGATATTTTGGCTCCTTGATCTTGGAAATTAGGACAATCAGAGTGTGATTCAGCTCCATGGATAGGGTTCCAGATTCCAAATAAGAGAGGACAACTTTTCTGACAATAGGGCCAAGAGTCTCCCAATGCTTTTGATAAAAACCAGCAGTAAAACCATCTGATCCTGGGGCTTTTGAAGCCCCCATTTGCTTCAGAGCAATATTGACCTCCTCCTCCAGAAAGGGGGCACTGAGAATGACATTCATCTCCTCTGTAACTCTAGGGGTAATTGCTTGGATAACTTCTCCACTACTCTGAGGGACCTCACTTTCAAAGAGATTATGAAAATATTCAACAACACATTTCATCACCTCTTCTTATCCTTCGTAAACTCTACCGCTTTCCATTATTAGTTTTCGAACCATATTTCTTCTCTTTCTAGTAGAAGCTTTGGCATGGAAATACTTAGTATTCTTATCGCCTGCTCTTAGACAATCCATTCTCGATCTCTGCTTCCACAACAACTCTCTTTTGTAATTTAGGTATGATTTTTCAGCTTCCAAAATCCTCCTTTCCTCAATAATCTCTGCAGTCTTCGGAAGATACTGAATTTTCCTGAGCTTCTTCTTAATCTTTTCAATACGCCTTCCTATGAATCCATACTTCTCTCTACTCCAGGAAGTTAGCTCAACTTCACATTTTGAAAGAGTATTTAAAATATTGCCATCCCTTTCTTCCTCACAGATTCTGGCAACTATATCCTTACATTCTGAGTCCTTTAACCAATAATTTTCCACTCTGAATGACCATCGCCATTTAATTACATTCTCATTCTCTACTAATGTTTCCATGAGAATGGGGCAATGATGAGATCCATACCTATCCAAATGGGAGACCTGAAAGGTAGGATAGATTTGTTGCCATTCAAGTTGAGCCACAAATCAGTCCAGGCTTTCTTTGATAAAGTCACTACCAGCTCTACAGCAGTCCCAGGTGAAAGAGTATCCTTTAAAACCACAATCCAGTAATCCACATTCTTCAAGAGTATCTCCCAAAAGTCCAGAGTCCTATCTTCGGAGATAAGCCTGTCACCTCTCTTTTCAGCACCGAAAACAATCTGGTTGAAGTCTCCCATGCATAGCCATGGAAGATTAGCTCTATTTTTTACCCTTCTCATAAGTTCCCAGGTCTCTTGTCTGTCTTTTATGTCCTGTGTCCCGTAGAAGCCAGTGATTCTCCATGGAGGTCCCCCCTTATGGGTCTTTGACATCCCCATCAAGGTGGTAAAAGGAAAAGTCTTCGAGGGTAAATTCAATATCAGATGTCCAAAAGATACAGAGAGGATACCAAAACACAAGCTAATAGGAACATCAAGTTGAACAAGAAATCAAATTGAACGTATGTGACATATACCACACTATGGCTACAAAGATTATGAGGAGCTCACATTCAGCGACGACGACAACCTTCACGACACTACTGATCATGCTCGTCGCATTCCTTTTCGTTGCACCCTTGATGTCCCGACTTCTCGATGAGGATCAGGATGACGCCGACCATATGACTCTAATTAGTGACCATGATCTGAAAACAAAGTTTATGAAAATGGCTGAGTATGCTGTGACGAAGCACAATAGAAAAGTCCCTAAATCAGAGACATTAAAGTTGGTGAGTCTGGACCGAGGATATTACGATAATGATGTTGGTACAGATTGGATAACATTCGATTTGCACATTACCGTCTCGTCCGCTCACCCCGACCAAATCAAATACAAGGCGGTGGTCGACGCCGGAGTCGGAATCGGAGAACCTGATCATCAATATGTTCTCACATCCTTTACCCGGTTATAAATTAAACTAATCTAGCTATATACATAGCGTTTGTCATAATAATTACCTTTAATGAATTATAGCACTAACAAAAACAATAATTTGAGGTATTGTACGTTGAGAGTTCGTGATGTTCTTCTCACTCTATGAGTAAATTAAAATGGTGCTGTTACTGGTTTGGATACTTGAGTTGATGATAATTAAGCTTCATCATGACTTCTTCGTACATTCATAAACCCAAAAGAGGTAACCGTGCAAATCCCTTTGCAACATGACAATCCATGTATCCATCATTCATTTTACTCTCTTTCGTTCTATTTTAAAATTAACTTGCAGAAAATAAGGGATGAGCACTTAATGAATCTGGCTAGAGAGGAGACGATTTGAGACATTTGCGAATGTAGACATTTACAAATGTATTGCTTGTTTAACAGTTTTTAGATGAATCTTCAAATAGGTTAAAAAATTGATCTTTCAATTAATTCGACTCAATCACCCATTCTATTATATATCATTATATTCGGTCATGAAGTGTTTTCCTTTTATTTTTTCGTCAAAAGTTAAATTTTTGCGTTTGCTTTCTTCGAGTACATTGTGATTTGTTGAGATACTCGTCTCGTCCTATTGTTCGCCGGTTAGATGAAATATATGTGTTTAGCTTACTAATTTGACATGATTTGTGTTGATAGAGTACACGTTGATGCAAACCCTTGTAACTTGCAGATAGTATCAAAGGAATTAGATTTATGAGGTGAACCAAGGGAAGAATACCGCTGTAGCATCATTTCCCTTTAAAAATTTTGCATACCTTACGATTTGGTACCTAAATTTTCTATTTTGGTAGTTTTTTTTTGTCCATTGTTTTACATTGTATCGGACTTTCTCATCCGCAACCTTTCTATACAAAGCTCTTCTACAGTACTAGTTAAAAATAGGCTTCTATGTGTCAATATTTTGATAATTGTGTTGAACGATAGATAGCATAATAAATTCTTTCTTCAAAAAAAAATTATCGTCCCCCTACTTAAATTCCTGGCTCCGTCCCTGCAAAAATTTTCATGAACTCAATGCACTGGAGAGAATGAAACCAAAGCCATGAATTTGAACTTCAAAGAAATTCTTATGGTTCTCTAATTTGAGGATCTTGAAACGAAAGCAGAGGATTGGGACGAGAGGGTAGAGAAGACAGGTGATTGGAGAATGGGGGAATACGTTTTCTTCCTTATTTATTTTTATATTAATATAATAATAAAAATATATTTTTTATTTGTGGATCTGGAATTTGAGAAATAAAGTGGGTCTAGAATCTAGACTCCAGTCCAATAAAAGCATGGACAAAATTTTTGCCGACGGCCAATTGACAGACAGAATTTGGCGTTGAAACCTGGACATTTGACGACGGGTACTTGGAACGTCACAAGTGAATGTCGTTATCTCAACTAGCTTTATACCATGGTAAAGGAAACCGTACCGGAGGTCATATCGGATCCGTAAGTGGTAGGGAGCGGGAGCGGGAATTCAATATTGAGAGCGCGAAGAAAGCGTCATTATAATATTAATTTTAATTATTTTTATAACTTAATTACTAAATAATATTAATAAAATTATTCCTAATGAGCTTCTACGTAACAAAGCCTTCTAACACTTTGCTAAAACAATTATAGGGATTGTGTCCATTTATTATTTATTATGTTACACTTGCAGGCTCAGCCCACTTCATTATAGCGTTGTTCATCAATCCCAGCCCAACCCAGGTGCCGAACAAGATTTCTACCTCCCATCCATCCCATTAGACGACAACGGATCCAAAATCACCTTTCCTTCTTCTTCATTCCGCTTTCTTCTCGCACCAGCAGAGCAAGTGAGGAACAATGGCGACATGCAATCTGAAATCTTCATCCTACACCAAATAGAATGCCCAAAAACGAAACCCATACCCAAAAATCTCCACCCTCCTAGTAATCGACGCCCAAAACTACTTCTCCTCAATGATCAGCCTTCTCCCAAACCTCCTCCCCACAATCGAACTTTGCTGCCATGCCTCGATCCCCGTCCTCTTCACCCGCTACAATCACAATCCCGCCTGCTGATTGCGAAATGCTTGCGGAGTGGTGTGATGATGATTTAATCATCAACGACATGCCGAATCTGAGTTAGCAGCAGATGAGGGCGGCGACGAGTTCATTCTTGAGAACCTACAGCGCCTTCGCCAAAATTGGGATGTAGCATAAATTGGAGAAATTCGCGTTCCTCAAAATAGAATTCGCGCTCTACCCAAATATAATTCGCGAATTATCAGCGAATCAAGACAAAATCGCGTGCCGGCGGAGCAGTGGTGGAGCGCGGAGCAGGGCGGAGCAGCGCAGAGCAACCGCGGAGCAGCGGTCCTTGTCTCCGGTCGCCGGTCGAGAAGAGGAGGAGAGACGCGGTTGCGGAGCGCGGAGCAGCGGCGGTCCTTGTCTCCAGTCGCCGGTCAAGAAGAGGAGGAGAGACGCCGCGATCCTGGTCGCCAACAGGTGGAAACGAGGAAACGAAGAAACGAAGACTGCGCTGCTCTTTTTCGTTTGGCTGATGATTTAGGGTTTTGATCATTGGCCTTCGACCGATCTCTCTCTTTTTTTTTTTTTAATGCCAAAACGACGCAGTTTCCTTCCCATAAGCTTACCCCCGGTTCGACCAAAACCGGGCGGTATTTCGTATTGTGCCGGTTTAACCGGGAAAACCGACCGGTATGATTTTTTAACCAGCAAACGACTATCGTATCGGCCACGCCCCGATTTCCGGTTTTACCGGTTCAACCGCCCGGTACGATCCGGTTTCCTTTACCATACCCGGTCGGTTGGCCGGAACCCTCAAAATCATCTATATATATAATTTGTAATAGACAAGCAAGATGATGAGTAAATGTTTTTTCATGAATCGAAAGTGTGAAGAGTGCATATTATATATATATATATATCGAGGTTTAGATAGTGTTTTCATACTCAAGGTATGCGGTATCCTGAATTTCAGTCGGGACACTGTAGAAGCCACATTATTTGTATATATATATATATATGGTGACTTCTACGATGCCCAGGGCAAAATCCGGGGTACGAGTACCTTGGCCGATCTTAACCATTCATTTTCAATCTCCACGGCTCACGTTTGTTAAACCTAACTGCGCCACTAAATAACTAAACAAATTACAAAAAGTCTCCTGCCGCGTTAAGTTTGTTTTCATCCTAGTCCAACTAACTGCCCCAATTAAATTAAATGGATTAAGACTGCAAACCCAATTGGGTAGACCCACTGGCGCCCTAACCAATTTCCAGTCTCCCTAACCAATTACACGATCCCTCTCTCGTCTTGGAGGGACGCCCCTTCACAGTTCCAAGAGAAGCTCCCCATCCAATTTGAACTCCCCAACTTAATCATCTTTTTGAATCTCAATTACGTGCATCCACATTCGACGTAGTTTGAATTTCCCAATTTATTTTGTCTTGTTTGTTCTTCGCCATTTTATTTCCCCTCGCCTATCTCTTTCTAACACGATTACGGCGACCATGTCTATTATTGTGTTCATCAAACTTTTCATTTTGCTAACCCTAGGGTTCATGTCGCTAGTGCTTTGTCATCAGCTTGTCTTACCGTTATTGTCATTTTCTCGAAACTTCTATCACTCGGTGAAATTAAGGTTTCCTGATATGTAGTGTTCGTCTCGACCAGGGGATTGAGGAAGGAGATGAAGAAGACATAATTTGATTCAAATCGGATGGAGAGGTCTCCTTAATTTGTGTTTATGTATTAACGGTGCATTTAGGACTAATTCTAGTTGGACTGGGTCTGATCATTGATTTTGGCAGGCTTTTAAATAACATTCAAAAGTGGGCTTGTACATGATCCATGCAATATTCAAAAGTGGGCCTGGAACGTGCGAGCCCATTTTATTTCTCCTGCCGTATCAATTCGTGCGCCAACCCTAGTTTAACTAGCTTTACTTACCCTAGTTTAACCTACACGAGTTACCATCATCATTACATATCTTCCGAAATCTCCTAACTCTTGACATTCCAGACTCAACCGTCTCCATCACACTCACATCTCCAGACTCAAACCCCACGATCACTTTTTCTTACACCTACATTCTCTCTTTCCTCCATCTTCACCTTCCCTTGTTCCTTCTTCCTCTAGACTCCAAGGCAAACAAAAGTAGATCGTTTGCGGAAATGGGGATACTATTATCTCTATCAAATGAAGACTGCCGATCCACCGCCAGTCTCGGTGACTATCTTTCATTTACAAGCAAAACAACAATGGTGACGATAAGCCACAAAATCGCCATACTGCGACCCGGGCCTGACTAAGACGGAAGAGGGACGGTTTGGGTCGAAACTTGTAGTGGACCGAGCCTCACTAATACGAGGTTGGGGATAGGCTTATTGTAACAGGCCTTAGTGAGCTGGGTTTGTCTCTCTTCTGGGTGATTGAGATTGTTCCAAAAATAAGTCATTGGTAAAACGGTGTTATCGCCGGTGATGTAAAACTGGCGGTGTAAGCACAAAAAAAGTTGTGACCGTGGAATGTAAGAATCAATAATAACGGGTTAATTGCAAGTTTTGTCACTGAAATTACTAAAAAGTTTCATGTTTGCCACTAAAATTAGTTTATTCCATTCATGGTCACTAAAATTAGTTCAACCGTTCAAGTTTGGTCACTCTCCGTTAGCCTCCGTTAACTTTCGTTGATGTGACAGTCAACTCTAATAATTGACTGTTAAATGTGTGACGTGGCAATTAAAAAATTATAAAAAAAAATTAATCTCTTTATAATTTCCACCTCATTATCACCATAAATTAAAAAATAAATAAAACATAAATATTATAATTATACTCGACTTCCCTCTGCAGCTTGGCGTCACGGAGCGCCACCGCCTTCTCCGATACCGCCGCTTAATCTTCCACGCATCGGATGGCGCCGCCACCACGATCGGCAAAATTGAAGCATGAAGATAGTTGAGAGTTGACCTCTGCATCATCCAGAAGCCTAAGAGGACTGGGATCTGAGCCAAACAAGTCTCTACCAGCTTGGTTATAGATCTCAATGGCAGAGAATTTCAATACAAACGCTCTTTCTTATGGTTATGAAATACCCAGAGAAACCAATCAGTTTACCTGGTCAAAGCTCATGGGAAATTCAGAATTATTATCCAAATGCTAGTTTGGCCGTAAACGAAAATGCTAGTTGAAAACACTAGAAACATCATATACATTCATTCCACCTAGGGGTGGGCATTGGTGCGGTCCAAACCGCTCCGCCCGCTCCAAATCGCTTATGCGGTCAATCCAAACCGCACCATTAAGATTGCGGTTTTATTTGCGGTCTAATCCTAAGCGGTTCGCGGTTTTGTGGTACGGGTCGACCGAAACTGCGCGGTTGCGGTTCAAAACCGCAAACCACTAAATCCCTACCCAGCTCAGCGAGAGATTCTCAAATATCAATTCATACCCTTACCAGTTACCACAGCCCGATCTATTCTTCTTCTTCCCGACGACGGCGGCTTCCTCACCACAAGAGCAAGCCTCGCCGGCGGCTGCAGCTTCCTCACCACAAGACCTTGTCGGCGGCGCCATCGACAATTCCTCCCTCTCGACTACCTACCCGACACTCGTTCTCGCCTCCATCCCGACTCCCGATCTATTCGTGCCTCTCGACGACGTCGCGCACCACCAAGAGGCGATAGCTCCACCGCCGACGCCGTTGTGTCTTCGCAACTAGCTTCTTCCCAAAGGCTGAGACCCTCCTTCCCCCTCGCCTCGCCTTGCCTCACTATTATTCAGGATTCAGTATTTTTCACTCACTCGCCTCGCCACCACCGCAATCGTCGTCGGATTTCAGAGGCACGCTTTGCTATCCCACAGACTCCGGGACCACTCTCTCCCTTTCTCTACACTACACTCTACTACTGCTGACCGAGCTAAACTCCCTTCTCATCATCACTTTCTTTCTAGGGTTTCTCTCACGTTTTGGCCTTTCCTTCCCTTTCCAGTCCCTTCAATTCCCCCCCTCCCTCCTAAATCCCACTCAATTACTTGCAGTGCAGATACACCATCGGAAGAATCCATCACCAACGCGGATCGAAGCTTATTTCTCCTCCCGCGCTTCCCCTGTAGTTGTGGCTACTGTTGTAACTATGGCCTGTCATCGTAATTAAGCAAAACTTCCGAGATTGACCGTTGCTGGTGATTGATGATTGTTACTTGCTCCGCCGTATCTACCAACTAGGCCGCCAGATCGTCACACTCCCTCCCCTTCGATATGCATTTCGCCAAGCTCGACGACTCTCCTATGTTTCGCAAGCAGGTTTGTTTCTTTCCGCTTTGTCTCTTTTTGGGTTTTGGAATTTGGTTTAGGAACCCTACCTTGCGCTCAACTTTTGGTTTGCTTGGAATGAATGATGGAATTGGAATTCGGATTCAAGGTTGTGATGGGTTTTGTGCAATTTTGCTGGGTTTTTGTTTGTACAACTGATTGGGAAAACACCTATGGGTTTTGTGCAATTTTGCTGGGTTTGACGCAGCTCTTCCACTCCGCCGTCATCACCGTCACCGCCGCTAAGGCCAGCGCCATTAGGAACCTGCTGGTGCTGGTGCAAGAGGGAATTGTACGACTACGAGAGAGACAAGAAACTGCAGCAGTTGGGAAAAAGAAGATATTATCTGCAAAATGAAATCAAAAAGCTCGCAGGGAAAACGAGCTCAAGCATCGGTATCTAGTGAGGTGAGTTTCTTGACTATGGTTACATTCTCTCAATGGGGACTTGTAGCTTGATCATTACCAACATAAAGGTGGAAAAAATCAGATGTGTTATCTTGCTTTCATTGAGATTTGGACTCCAGTTATATCCTACTGTTTGACTGCATTACAATTTGATGATGATATTCTGGTCCAAAAATTGGCTTATGGTTGGTCTATACTTGAATGAATGGATCGTGTGGAGTAACTTACAACTTGCTGGTGGGATTTTTGTGTATAAACCTGGATCTCTACTGCGCCTTCTGGTTACTGCTGATACTTGTTTGTGTAATATTATTAGTAGGAGAAGTGACAGCATGAATCAGTCTTCTCCCTTGTTTTGTGCATTTCAGCCTGCTGCTGATAGTCTCAGGATTAGGAGGTAGTTACTCTTACTGGTTGCCTGTATTACACTTCAATATGATGATATTCATATTCTGGACCAAATTTGGCTTTTGGTGGTCTATGCTTGAACGAATGTTTCTCTCTAGTAAATTACAGATTGGTGGTGGGGTTTTTTGTCTCTGAACCTCTATCTGTGCAGGATCTTGTGGTTGCTGCTTGTACATGGTTAGATAATAGTATTAGCATGAATTGAGTGTTCTCCCTTATCTGATGCTTTAGTGCCTGCTCCTTTTGAGTTGCAACTCTTGGACACAGAGTTTCTTGTGAGTCAAACTGATTTGTTGGTGCTTACCGATTCTGATTGATGATATTTGATGATTCTTGGTTGGGGTTGCTAATCAGAGTTTTGTGACTACAAATGTTGATGATATTTGCTGTTTCATTATTAGGTTGAATATGATGATGTTGCAATGGAGTCTTTAAGTGGGGAAGATATGGAAGTCGAAGTGGATGCAAGTACAAGTAGTGTGGGTGCTGCTGATATTGGTTCAACTGCATCCTCCTCTCAAACAGAACTAGATGAAGATGGTGGAAACGTGGATCTAATTGCGGAGTATATGAAGCAATTGCAAAAAGAAAGAGGTGTAGTCAACAAAACTGAGTTGGATAGGTATTTGAACGAGGAAGTTGAAAGATCAATGGATCCCAAATTTGATGTGCTAGGCTGGTGGAAAGTAAACAGCCACAGGTTTCCAACTTTGTCTCGGATGTCAAGGGATGTATTGGCTATCCCTATTTCTACAGTTTCGTCTGAAGCGGCTTTTAGCACTGGAGGGAGAGTACTGAATGATTTTAGGAGTTCTTTGACTCCTAAGATTGTGGAGGCCCTTATTTGTACTCAGGATTGGCTCCGCGCAGACTCTAGTCCATGTGTAGTTGAAGAAGATTCAGAGGAGATCGACAATATTGATGAAGGTAAGCTTTCTTAGAATAAAAATGCTATTAGTTTTGTTTAATGCTCAAGTTGATGGTGACATTTTATGAATTTCAGAGTTGAGCATGGTGTTGAAGGCTATTAACATCTCTGATGTTCCACTTCCTTTTACCAATACCCCTCGTACGAGTCCTATTATACAGGCAAACGCAAACACGTCAGGTAATTCATCTAATAATCTTATTCATTCTCTTTTTTGTGGGTTGTTTTGCTAAGAAGAAAGCACAGCTACTTAGTTAAAGTTCTTTTGACTATGTTGATGAGCCAGACTATGTTGATAAGCCTTCATATTATTAACAGTTAGTTATACAATGCATATATATATTATTAACAGGTCTTGTATGCTTACATCTTCTTCCAATTCTCAGAGATCCATCAACATTAGCTGCTGCTATCTGGAAGTGAGGCTTGGAGAGGAACACGAAAACAGTAGATGCAGCGACCGAGGGCTGAAATGCAGCTGAAGATCTAACTGAATTCACAGTGACCCAAAGCAGTTGCCGTCTTCCTGAAGTTATGGTTTTTAATTATAGTTTGTAGTTTTGCTGGAGGATTCGGCCTTGTTTAAGCTACCATTTAGAAGTGATGGAATGTCATTGCTTTCTGTTACTCATGTCCCAAAGAGATGAAACTTTCTCGTCTCTAGAACTCGATTCATGGGTTGTCGTGTTGATGATACGAGAGCAGAAGAAGAGCATTACTCTTTCTTTATTTCATAGTGTTGTGTTAATCCGGTTCGCGGTTGGCGGTTGGGTTAATTCAACTACCTAATTTCATAGTGTTGTGTTTGGGAATCGCCAGAGTGGACATACCGTTTAACAAGTGGTCGTCTTCAATTATGAAGTTCACCCATTCGTCGGGATGCAAATTTATATCTTATTCAAATTGGGCTAGAGAAAGTTGAATTAAAATTAAAAAAGCAAACTCTGCCGATGTAATGGATGGCCGGCAAGGGGTGATGGAGTATCAACGGAACTGTGATTTTCGAGAAACCAAAGACAGACTACAACCTCTGTTATTTGGAACCCAGAAAACAGAGCCTAATTATCATGTCATTTTCTCTCTGGATTCATGTAACAGAGTCCTATTCTTCACCATCACAGGATTTTTGTATGTTAATGCTCTCTTTCTTTATTTCTTGCTCTTAATTAATTACTTCAGTTTTTTTCCTCTTCGCTGATCTTATTCTTCTTCCTCTTATTTGATCACCAATTGCATCCATCCTCTCTTTCTTTAGAACGCAGCAGGAGTAGAACGTCAATACTGAAAAGGAATTTGGTTTCGGAAGTGTCATAATCCATAATGAATTGCGGTCAAACATGCGGTGCGACCTAAACCGCACCAAACCGCTAATCAATGCGATTTGGTTTGACCGCACCAATTATATTGCGGTCGAACATGCGGTGCGGTCCAATTGGCATGCGGTGCGGTGCGGTTTGAACCGCACCAATGCCCACCCCTAATTCCACCTTCTCTCTTACGGTAATGGAAGAGAAGATCGCCTATAACCTAGAACTCTTACGGACGATGGAAAGAGCGACTTCCTTCGCCACTTCCTCGTAGACCAGTTTCGTGCCTGAATCAGGCCGGAAAGATAAATTCAATGGAACAGGAGAGGAATCGGAGACTGGAAATGCTCATATTGGGGATGAATCTTTTAGAGGTTTATTGAATGTGAAGGCGGAACGGAGCACGGAGCGATCGTCGTGGCGGCGCCAACCGGTGCGTGGAAGATGAAGCGGCGGCGCTTCGTGACGCCGAGATGCAAAGGGAAGTCGAGTATAGTTACAATATTTATTTTCTATTTATTTTTTAATTTATGATGATAATGAGGTGGAAATTATAAAGAGATTAAATTTTATTTTTTATCATTTTTTAATTGCCACGTCATACATTTAACGGTCAACTATTAGAGTTGACTGCCACATCAGCGAAAGTTAACGGAGGCTAACGGAGAGTGACCAAACTTGAACGGTTGAACTAATTTTAGTGACCATGAATGGAATAAACTAATTTTAGTGGCAAACATGAAACCTTTTAGTAATTCCAGTGACCAAACTTGCAATTTACCCCAATATTAACTATCGTAACGTCATATCAACATTTAGTTTGTTTATATTACAGATCGTATAGACCATATTTTTACTCTTCCACCTCCAACTAGTAAGAGCCACGAGATGCTTCACAGTGCAATCGAACGGTGTTATATAACAAGAATCGTGTTATATAATAAGAACTAATTGAGAACCTGCCCTGTAAATTCGACTGACATTGTCAAATCCTCTTCTTCTTCTCATCATTAAACGTTAATCAAGCTCGCCATTTCCGACCAAAAAAGAGAAAACAACCTGGCTTTCCTTTTCTCAGCCTTGTCAATCTTCCACTATCACCAAGAAAGTGTCCTCATTTTTCTCAGTTTTCCTCATTCTGCTCACCAATGGCATTTTCGTTACTTCTTGTCAACCTCTTGGTCACTGTGGCATAACAGCAATGTACAACTTTGGAGACCCGTTAACTGATATCGGGAACGCTCTGATAGAGTTCCCTCACAGTCCTGTAGGACGATTCCCGTACGGCATGATAATTCACCAAGCCACGGGAAGGTTTTCCGATGGATACCCCTTCATCGACCAAATAGGTACGTAATCTAATTGCATGCATGCATGTTTCCTAATTCATCCACGTTTATTTTATTTATGTTTCATGCCTTTGATCATATAATCCTAAACTCTAGTTGATACATATATGTGTGTGCGCGCATGTACGGCCGTATATTATCGATGGATGAGAAAGACAGAGAAATGTGAGGACACTTTCTTCTTTGGTAGTGGAAGACTAACAAGGACGAGAAGAAGTCATTATGGCGGTTTGATTTTTTTCCAGATTGGCAATGGCTAGCTTGATTAGTGATGAAAAGGAGAAGAAGAAGGATAATATATGCACAAGAGTAGTGGATTCGGATTTCTATACTCACTAGACTCATATTGCATGTGTTATATAACATATTTGTTGGCTCACTAGACTCATATAACATTGTGCAATGTGTAGTAATTTGTGGCGTTATGATCATTGTCACCTTTGTTCCACTGAGCGCCATCATATTGTGTTATATAACACATTTGTTGAACCCTCTCGTATTTACGCTAAATCATCTAAATATTATGAATAATATGCAATATACATAAATAGGACCATGAAACTTTTTCCTATAAATTTGAACTTTGGACCCCAGTCTTTAACATTTCGCTTGACACTCCAGTGTACCTTTGTCCATATATCAACAATCTTAACATATGTTCCGTGTAGTTGTTCAGTTGTTCTTCGTTTAAACCGTGCACCTATTTCTACATGGTTGGTTCACGGTCCAGAGATGCAACAGAAGGACAGTACCAAAATGAAGAAACTGGCAATAGCATCAATAACTTTAAGCAAAAGAACCCACATCTCTGACTCTCCATTGTCAGCTTTATAATTTGTTTCCACAGCGAGAAACTTGCTAGGAATTGGTAAAATGTTTGATCTTTGTTTGAGGGTTTGAAGGGTTACTTGTATATGTTTGCTTTCATGAATCCGTATTTCTATTTTGGTCATCGTCAGCCATTGTATAAGAAAGGAAGGCAACATGAAAGAAACTATATTGTGCATAACCAAATGCAAAGGAGCAAGCATTCATGTTAACAACCAAATGCAAACAGGCAGCTAGATTTCTAGAGTTATAACTTACAAGTTACAACAGCAAAAGGTGCTCCGTATGTGCTGGAGTCCGAGATTCCATCTGACTGGGACTTGGGTGTCTGCAAAATCTCTCTGCAGCACACACGTGTTCCTAAACATAAACTCAACTGGAGGAAAAGAAAATGAAATTAAACGTGAGAGCTTGATTCCTGCAACTGCAACTGGCAGTCGGAGATGAGATCAATACGAAACCAAAATTCAGTTGTAGGTTCTAGGCTGAAACAGAACATTTCATATTCTTTCTATACATAAAAGCTGGGTACGCTTTTTCCTGTCACTGTAGCACTTTCTGTCTTCTAGCGCCTATCAAACCCTTCTCTGGAAAACCTTCGCTGGAAAACTTCCCCATCCAAATGCTTTCCCTCGCCAACGACCATGCCGCTCCCCTACCTCCCGTACGCTACTGCTACGCTTCCCTTATTGCAGCTGTCGTACCGTCCTTCTATCAATTCTCTACACCAAAGCCATGCCTTCACTTTTGGAGTTCTGAAGTGGGTTGCGTGTAAAATGTAGATTGGGGGTGAAGAATGGGGCGAGATTTGGGGAATGGGTATGGGAGGACAGAGTCCTAGAGACGAAGGACGCGGAATTCGTGGGTGAAGGTACGGCGGACGAAAGATGGATAAGCTCTCTGCAGGAAACAACACGCTACCGATTGAGATCTCTTCGCACCCGCTCACACACGCTACCACCCATGTTTCGTACCATCATCGCCTTTCTTCCCTCGATTAGTGGAAGAGCGAGCTTCTTGCTTTGGCGCTCTCAAAATCGCGTGCACCTTCTTTTCTATTTTCGTTGTTTCTCTCTTCCCCGCTTTGACGCCAGGCTCTTCGACTCAAAATCTCTCGGCCGGCGGCGGGTACTGCTACCACCAACCAACGGCGGTAGGTGATTCATCTTTCTTCTGCCCCTATATTTGATGGAAAAAATTATGCCCTTGCCACTTTCCTTTGTTGGAATAGGGTTTAGTTTCAGGTTCTGCTGATGCCTTATGTGGTGTGCGGCGTTTAAGTTTTTTGTGAGTTCTGCTGCCGAGCTTTTGTTTATTTCTCTTTCCCTTTTCCAGCGATTTCCTTCAGGATGGATAGGTATCAGCTCAAATAGACACTTGGTACTTGGTGTACTCAGTCACGGAGAGCGGAAAGATAGAGAAAACAGGGTATCTGATGTTGGTGATAAGACGCCTGCGGGATAAGATGCGACAGCCAATCTTCCGGGCAGCGGGGAACCGACTGTGGCGGCAGTGAGCTTCTCTCTCTATATTACTCTCTTCTTGCGTTCAATTTGTGATCTCGATTCATTGCCCTACGAGTTCATTGTTTCCTTCATGTTCTTGCAGGGTGCAGATCGAAAGAGGGTTTCATTGTATCTGTCTATCTACAGGTAAGATTCAGTCACTGGGTGGTTCTGTTTATTTGTTCTCTTTTATTGAAAATGAGAATATCCTCTTTTACTTGGTGGTTGTGGCATTCTGTGCGAGGCTGAGAAAGAACGTACCAGGTTTGTTTCAGAATCAATTGTCTTCTCCATTGTCGCTGCTTTCATTTGCTGTGTGTTTGATGCTTTTAATTGGAAAAGAAGCCTTACAAACGAATGTAATGCATATGATTGGGTTTATCTGTGGGTTTGGTGCGTTTAATTTGCATTGGACTCATCAAGTTCAATTAGTTAGTACAAAGAGATTTGTTGTTTATGGCAGTACAGGGAATGCAAAGTTTTATAGCATAAAAGGAGATTGACTTACGTAATGAGCGTTTGCTCTGGTATTTTTGTCTTGCAGAGGGTTGTGGATGGTGAAGCATGCCAACCACTCCGAAGAGGTTTATTGAGACGCCAAGGAATACTGCCCAAGGCAAGCTTACGAAATTCTCTAGATTATTGTTTCACCTATCAGATTTTTGGGTGCTTTTAATTGTTGAAGTTTTTTTGAATGCTTTTATTTCTTTGCTTGGGTTTATGGACTCATAAAATAACTTACTGTTGAGGAGTGTCACGGAGCAATCTTTATTTAGATTTGTGGTCTTATTTGCATCTGCAAATTTGGTTGCGGTTCATTGTGTTTTATAAGAGATGGCAAAATGGGTGTGTTTTCTTGCTGCAATCTTGGGAGCCTAATTAAGCTTAGACCATGGACGAAATGCCATATGTAGTTATACTGTCTCTTCCTCTTATTATTCTCTGAGCTTTTTCTTTGTTCACATAGGTGTGCATGACAACTCAAAACGTTTTCTTTGTGGCAGATATGATGGTGAAACTGGCTTATAGGTAGATAATCGAGACTGTCAGGGAGAAGATAGGGTTCAGTTGCTTGCAGGAAAAGGAACTGACACCACTTATGTACCACGAGGAAGGTGGGGAGACGGATGAGCACATGTTTTATGTGTCCAAGACTTTGTTGCTGGATTTGGGTACCATGGTAAGGAAGAATCTATGCTGTTTGGGGTTGCTTTGATATTTACTCATTAAGGAAGTTAGTTATAGTTTTGGGGATATTCTTTGCTTCATAATTCTGATTTGTGGGTTCCTGTGCATGGTTAGATAAGGGTTTGAGGGTCATGAGAGTGGGGGAAGCAGGTTATGGTAAGTAAGCTACATCAGTTGTTATAGATCGGCTTTGCTTGGTTGAATGGATGAGGGGGAGAGGGAAATGATGGAAAAAAAAGGTTTGATCAACCATATTAAGGAGTAATATATTCTCATGGTTATTTTTGCCAAAGAGGGGACATAAGGGTTTCGTTTGAAGGTGAAGATTGGGTGGAAAAGGAAAGGGGAAAAGATGATTATGGGTGTCTTGCCATGCCATGGTTGTTGGTTGTCTGCTGCATGGATTTAAATTAATTGCTACTTTCCTAATCTATTACAAGTTTCAGAAATCATGCTATTTCAGAGGTTAACAAATGTTCTTTGTACCTTACCAACTTCCAATTCTGGTCTACAACCTGATTGTATTTCCAGCTTCCTATTTTGGTCATTTGTTAGCACTGCATCCTGTTTGCATCTGCAACTTCTCTTTCTAGACAATTGGCCAATTACTACTTTACCACTGTCCACAAGCTTTAAGTTCTTCATTTTCTGAAAGCTGTTACGTAGGAATATATGCTAGAATGTTGGTTTTTATGTCCCTTCTATGTTGTATACTTCCTACTGCATGTTTTTATCTCCCTTGGAACTGAAGTATATGTTTGCTGGTTCTGGTGTTCTCTTCCTCTTCTCTAGAGTCTGGACCGATGTGTTTTTACGAATGTCTACACTAATGTAGTAATATACTGGCCCATGTTTCAAGGAGGTCTGATTAGTTCCATCACTTGAGATTCTGGTGGTGGGTTTTTTTTTTCTTCATATCATCTGCACTTGCATCTTATCCAAGTATGTGTGGGCCTATCATGTTCTGCTCACATCATCCGTGCATTCTGGAAGTTGCAATGCTGTTTGGTTGAGTTTTTTCTATATGAATTCTGCTTCATAATAATTTAAGACTTTGAAACTCTGGCAGTGTCATCAATTTCTGCACAGATGATCCTTAACAAGGTAACTAAGAACAGTTAGCAACAATTTCGATGCTGGAAGGACTTTACTACATTACATGGATAAAATGTAACTCAGCCTTTTATGTTCTCACTATGGTATGGGTGCATTTTGTAGGTTTAGAACAAGGTAAGAGACCTGGAATGGGGTCCCATTTCATACTTGCCTGGATGAAGGTAGGAAGAAGATAACCGCAGTGTTCTGAATCAGCATCATCACAACAGTGTCCGCCTTTCTACTTCTCAGCCAAGTACTACTCCTGCAGTAGCGGAGATGGATGCGTGAGGCAGAGGCGCAGACCAACTTCTTTGAGGGGAACCCCTGTTGGGACAAGGCGTCGGCTACTCCGTCATTCTCGGCTTCGATGCCTTCTTTGCCATCGTCACTTCTTTTCTGGTCCAAAACTTTAAACACACTTTCTTATTCTTCTTCTGTTTTTTTTTAGCACTTAGAATGGTTAACACTGCCAGCAAGAACGCCCAAAACTGCACTTATTGGCAGTGTCATTGTCTCCTAGGTAACTCTCTCACTCTCTCTTAACAATTTCCATTCATTCCTTGCTCTCTGTGTTCTCTTATGAAACTTTTCAAAATGAAATAAATCAAGCTTAGGAGTTTATACTCGATGGTTCTTCTCAATTGGATGGCTCATGAAAGTCTTTTTCATCTTGCTCAAGGAAGAGAAAGTACTTGCTGGATCCGGACAGTTGTAGTAGGAAGAAAAGGTGCCTCGAGTTGGAGCTTTTGCTTTCTTTTGTTATTTAATAGAAGAAACAAATGTTGTATAAACTAATCAATGTCAAGAGGAAGATATGAGTGACTGATGTGTTGATATCATCACATGATTCTTCATTGGTCACAAATGCAACTTGATACGTTGAAAGAGATGAAACAAATGGCTGGTGTTTACCTATATCCCTTTTGGGCCCTGTTTAATGGTTTTTTTTTTTTTTTTTTGTATGAAGTTGTTTGAACCTCACTATACAGTATACACTTTTGTAAGAAGTCTTTCAGGTATTGTGCTAATGATTGCTCTGTGTATATTATTCAGTTAGTATGAAGTATGAACTGTGTGTTTCTTTATTAAAATGTTGCAAAAAAGATGCATGGTTTATTTATCATTATTTTGTTGAATAGGATAGCGTTTTCTTCACCAAATTTATTAATCAATATGTTCTTAGAAGTGCATCCAACTTAAGAGTCTTGAATACAAATGCCGACTAAATATGAAACTGAAGATACAAAATTCTTATGCTGTCATGCATACACTTTCAAAACTTTTAAACCACACTATTGCCAGTAGCATCACTCCCACTTTGTCATCACATAATCTGGCCAATGTATGATTATGCGGCTGCAACTTTAGTTCCCGCGGCGTAGCCGTGGGTATTGATTCTAGTATAACATGGAAACTGGGTAAGCCCTTCTTGAGGCCATTGTATTACTGGTACATATGGAAAACCACAGTGGCTGCAAACAAAAGGGATATCTAAACTGAGATGATCAGGAACTGCTAAACTTCATACCAAAACAAGGATTCCAAACAATCACCTAAATATGCTTATTTGGTCCCATTTGCAGCAGCCACTTGATCCTCGCGATTCTGTTCTGCACTCCATCTTCTGATCGACCGTTCTTCGACTGAGTATCCATCCAAAGTCGTCGGAGAAACAGTCCCATGACCGTTTTTATTCACGGTAAGCACCAACAATGTCTTCGCCACGCTTCCACAGAGTCGAATTGTGCAGTAGAGATCAGACCAGACCATCAATCTCCCATCCACACCATCATCACTACTACTCCCCCCTTCTGATAAAACAATCACAGCGTATTCCGAGTGAACCAGAGACGGGTGGTGACGATACGCCACAAAATCGACGCCATACTGCGACCCTGGCCTGACCACCCAGTTCTTGGTTCGAAGGTGGGAGTAAGCTTTATAGTAATGTGGGAAATTCGCAATCTTGGATTTCATGTACTGCCATAGCTCTGCAATGGAGCAAGTCGTACCTTGGTGGTGGGTGATTTTGAGGCAACCCAAATGGTGGGAAAGATAGAATGCTTCCTCTAGACTCAGCTGAAACCATTGATTGACCTTATCGGCGGTGATGATTGGCCGGCCGAAACAGGCGCGAGTGAGAATCTCGGCGTGTTGTGGTTCTACGGGCAGGAGCGCGCTGCTTCCCGAGAGTGAAGCGTGAGCCTCTGATTGAAGGAGGGAAGACTGGAGGTCGGAGACGATTTTCGATATGGGATCTGCCAGAGCTTTCGCCTCCGCCGTCCTGCCTTTCCATCTCGGCGCCATCGGAATCAAACAGAGAATCAAATCCCTCGTTCTTCTACTTTGTTTCTTACTCCCTCCCTCGGTGTTTCACTTGCACCAATTGTCGAACTGGCGGAGGGCGCTAGTTCGTTGATACAGAGGAAAAAATAAACAAATGACTAAGCAAACACATGGATTAATAACAGTTTCAGAATTCGGCGTGTATGAAGAAGTTCGCCGTCGGCGGGTTCACCTTCGTGGAGTTCTGCCTCCGCCAGCCTCTAAAATCCTCCCAGGCGGGAGGGCGAGTCTTGTTCTGGTCTGGGCTGCTTAAGCGGCCCAGTAGATGAGCACTAGGCCTGTACCATTGAAACGTCACTGAGCCCAAAATCGGTTTACAGTGTACAGATACAGAAAATTATGTTGGCCCGTCTGAGCCCAATAATAGTTTCTGTTAGAACAGGATTCAAGATTCGGTACGGTTTCTTATCGGTTTTCGATTAAAATCGAAGCCATTGAAGTACAAACCGAATCGGGATAAAAATCTAAATTTAAACTGAAAAACCGAATCCAATTTCTCAACCCTAGCCGAGTCGAGTTGATTGAGGGTGGAAGAGGAAGACACAATTAGGGAATAGGGATTGTGATTTTTATTTTTTGTCTCGAAGACATCACCCTTTCTGGAATTTGAATTATTTTATTTAATTTTTTGTCCCGCTGAACGGGTAGATCAAAACCGGTAGGTTTACCGTTGTATCGTGATTTAATCACTAAATACCACCTATTGCTATTTTAAAAGTCCCTTTGCTCATATCGTACCAATTTTTTCGGTTGAACCATTGATACAGTACGGTTTCATCCATTTACTAATAGCAGTTACATTGCTGCTATTGCATCAACCTGCAAAGCTATCCCGCTGATATCCAAATTATTAGATTTATTCTAGAAATACCTACCAAAAATAAATAAATTCCATAAATACTATCCGTTTTCAAAATTTTTCAAAAATACCACCCTTTTTCACAAACCACAGGGTGGAGCGTGGTTTATACAAACACCGTCGGATGTAACAGCAGTTTTCCAAAAAACCGCCGGCCCCCTGGGCGATTTACATGTTATGTTTTTTTTAAAGAAACCCAAAAGAGCTCTATAAGTGATTACAAAGGTCCACGTGAGGTCTTTGATTAAACTTTTGCTAATGAATCTTCTTAATTAGTATCACTTTTATTTTCACCTTTTTGGATTTATTCCAGAAATACCAACCAAAAATAAATAAATTACAAAAATACCACCCGTTTTCGAAAATTTCCAAACATACCACCCTTTTTCACAAACCGCAGGGGGGCGCGATTTATACAAAAACCGTTGGATGTGACAGCGATTTTCCAAAAAACCGCCGTGTGCAAAAGCGGTTCAAAACTATGGACAATGACCGCAGGGGGGAGCTGCGTTTCACATGGAAACTGTTAGCCCCCTGGGCGGTTTAAATGTTATGTTTTAAAAAAAAAAAATCCAAAAGAACTCTATAAGTGATTACAAAGGTCCACGTGGGGTCTTTGATTAAACTTTTGCTAATGAATCGTCTTAATTAGTATCACTTTTATTTTCACCTTTTTGGATTTATTCCAGAAATATCAACCAAAAATAAATAAATTCCAAAACTACCAACCGTTTTCAAAAATTTTCAAAATACCATCCTTTTTCACAAACAGCAGGGTGGGGGCGCGGTTTATACAAAAATTGTTAGATGTGACAGCGGTTTTCCAAAAAACCGCCTGGTGTAAAAGCGGTTCGAAACTTTGGACAATAACGACAGGGGGGAGCTGCGTTTCACATGGAAACTGCAGGCCCCCTAGGCGGTTTACATGTTATGTTTTTTAAAAAAAAAAACCCAAAAGAGCTTTGAAGTGATTACAAAGGTCCACGTGGGGTCTTTGATTAAACTTTTGCTAATGAATATTCTTAATTAGTATCACTTTTATTTTCACCTTTTTCCATGTTTGTTTTTACGCACTACGTAGGATTGAATAAAATTAATGATAAGTATAGTTAGTAAATACTATGTTTAGGGTGTGCCTACTGTGACATGCATGTCACGGTGACTTGCACTTTCCGGTCGACCTCAGTTAGGATTAGGTCGACCTCATTTAGAATTCGGTCGACCTCATATAGGATCTGGTCGACCTCATACAGGATCAGGTCGACCTAATATGTTGTTTCAGTGTAAAAACAGTTCATGGTGTCTACTTTGGATATTCATACCATTCAATTGGCTAGATGGAAATTGAAGACTAATGACTTGTTTTGAAGCTGGAGTGTCCCTCTACATATTGAAGTGATTGCGAGCTCGATAGGAAGTCCAGAAGACCATTTTTGAACCTCATCAAAAGGCTATGCCAAAACTGGGAAACTGCCTGGAAATGGTTAAGTCTGGAAACGTGTTTGTGAAGCCTATTTTGGAGCTCAATTCGAGAAGCATGAATGCGAGTCGAGTCCAGGAGGCTCTACCACGTTAAATTAGGTATGTTTTTATACAAATTCAAGGCATTGGATGAAAGATTGGATATATGTAAGGCTTCAAACAAAAGAATCGAAGTTGCTACAAATGCTGTTTTTCTGGCAGACTTCGAGCACAAGCAAGCTGCCAGAAAACAGCCTTTGTAGCAACTTCAAGCCTTTTGTTCGAAGCCTTAAAGATATTAAATCTTTCATCCAATGCCTTGCCTTTGTATAAAAAAATACTTAATTTAACGTGGTAGAGGCCCCTGGACTTGACTCGCATCCATGCTTCTCAAATTGAGCTCCAAAGTAGGCTTGACAAACACATTGCCAGACTTAAGTCATTTTCAGGCAGTTTCCCAGTTTTGGCATAGCCTTTTGGTCAGGTTCAAAAATGGTCTTCTGGACTTTCTATTGAGATCCCAAGTACTTTAATGTGTAGAGGGACACTTCAGCTTCAAAACAAGCCTTTAATCTCCAATTTCCATCTAGCCAATTGTAAGATATGAATCTCCAAAGTAGACACCATGAAACTGTTTTTACATGAAACAACAGATTAGGTCGACCTAATCCTATATGAGGTCGACCGAAAAGTGCATGTCACCGTGTCATGCATGTCACCATAGCAAAGTCCCTATGTTTAATACACGTATTGTACCCAGGGGCGGACTCACAGAGGTTTAGACCTCTAAATTTTGGGGAAACGATTATTCAACCCACGGTAGTAATTTATGTATATGTAGATAATTTATAATTGGTAGTGAGGGATACCCTTGAAATTTGATAAAATGATTATTCAAATGTCATTTTTTGAAATTTGTGTATGGGAATATAAGTGATAGGTTGGGTAATTCAAACCTAGAGCACTATTATTATTAACAAACTTAATTTCCATTAAACTACAACTCATTTGTTGTTTTATTTTGAACACTGTATCATAGTAAAATACCATTCCATATTTCTAATTATTTTCAAAACATAGCAATTAAACTAATTTCAACATACCCTTAATTTGTATTGATTTTATGTTTGTACGACAAGTGTTGAAAGATTCCTTCAGCTTTGGGTTACATTAAGAACAAGTTTACAAATCGAATATGCGATAAGTTCGTGAATGATTCTCTAGTAGAGTATATAGAGACACTTTTTTTAGCATTTTTTATACCAAGTGTATTCTACAATTATTTCAGAATATGAAAACACATAATGGATTTTTTTAACCTGTACGAGTAAGGTATTTTCTAATTTACAATTTTATTTTTATTAATTATTTTATTTTTATTTTTACTAAATTTATTCTTTAAAAGAGGAAACCCCTATGAAAAATTCATGGGTCCACCACTGTAAGTACCCATACGTATTTTATCAGTTTAAAACTTCCGTATTGGTATTATTGTGAAGTCGTTTCATTTTTTTCCGTTCATTTGATGGCTCCCTACTAAACACGTATAAAACTCGTATAACAAGTTTAATATCCATATTTAATAAATTAAATGGTTAAGTTTAATATTAATTAATTAATTTATTTTAAAATAATTAATTTTATATATTTACTACTATTAACATACTATTAAATATAATATTAGATTAAAGAAGAATATATGTACCCGTACGTATTTTATACATAACTTTCCCGTACCGTATTTTACTAACTATATTAATAAGTAATAATTCTTTTTTACACTCATTGCTAATTGGTCCATTCTCCTCCACAAACCTCTACCAATCGGTTAATAATTCTTTATGGAGCTCTTTTGGCTTAATTATTAGACTAATTGGGTTGGAAAAAAAAGAAACATGACATGTAAACCGCCTAGGGGGCCAGCGGTTTCCATGTGAAACGCAGCTCCCCTGCCGTTATTACCCAAAGTTTCGAACCGCTTTTGAATCCGGCGGTTTTTGTATAAATTGCGCTCCTACCTTGCGGTTTGTGGAAAATGATAGTGTTTTTGGGAATTTTCGAAAACAGATGGTATTTTTGGGTGGTTTTTCTGGAAAAAATCCAAAATTATTAGGCCTACTGGAAATTTTTTATAGCCCTCAAATTATCTTCATGAGCGGTAGAACAACTTCTCAAATTCCTAGTATAAATTTCCCAACAAGCAAACCCTGAATTTATAACCACAACACGCTAACTCCTACCTGTCAATTTGACGGAATGGACGAACCATCTGAATTTACTATGACCACCTTGTTGTTGTGGTGGAAAGGGAAATCGGAGAAATGAATAAGCTAACCTTCACTTGTGGCCGGCGGGATGCTTCTTCTATCCTGTATTTATTAAATTTCAAAATTCGGGAAGAAGCTCTAGAGGGAAATAAATAATAATGGATGTATTTTTCAAGATGGGGAAGCCCCCACAGTGCCACAGCTGGCACGTTACCAACGGTTTCCAACTGCCGACGTCAACCATGACCTGGCTACCTCTCTACCTCCTTTGCTCATTTCCCGAAGTCAAACGTAACGGATGCTTCACAACGGGAACTTCCCTCCTGGCAGATCGGCTGAATAATTCAACTCCACGTGCACACAACAACAAGCTGCGACGAAAACAGAGGAGAACGAGATAGCCCATTATCTGGAATAGAATGAATAATTTGGGACTCCAGATTTCTCACAAACTCCGCCGATGTTCATAACAAGACAATCACTCAAGAGAATATCCCTAATCATGCCGCCTAACCACCACTTAACTGTCTAATAATGGTTTCCTCGCCACATATGTTATCATTCATGGCCCTCTTAGCTGGAGGAGTTCGTTGTAGACTTGTTATTTTGCAACTTTTGACGAAACTAATTCGGTATTACATAAGCATTTGCTTGTGTCGTTAGATAATGGATCGGATGTTTCGCGAGGAAAGCCAAAGTAAATTCGGACAGCAACTCTGTTCTCGTGGAGGAAGGTTCTTAGTGGTTGATCATTAGTTGAAAAGGACGTATGAGAAAGAACATTTCAAAAACGTTTGTTCTAATTCCACAAAGATGAGACGAATATTGACACGCAATTCGGGGGGCAAGTAGAACTTTTGCCAGGCAGTTTCAACCAAAGAAAACTTTCCAGAACAGAAGCTATACCCTTTCAGTTGACATATCTAGAAAGCCAGAGTCTTCTCATAAATAATTGCAAACCTGAACTTTCATTTCCTAGTGATTTCTCAAGCAAAATGAGCGATGTTCCTTTCCTATACATTTTATGGTACAGTGATAAACAATTAAGACGTCTTTCACGATACTCTAGCTGCTCTCAAGCATCAACAGCTAGCTTGTGTTCCTCGGATTTCAGTGGCAACCTGTTGCTCGGAACGTCTTCGTTCTCATCGGACCATCTATGGCCAGCCTCCACCATCAGTTTCTGAATGGAAAGAGATAGACAGGGTTGATATAAGAAGGCGGGGTTTAATGGAATGGATGCAAATGCTTGCTAGTTCAAAGAAGAAAAGGGTTCTCGGACACTCCTTACCTGGTTCAGTGCAGAATCACTCTTTAGTTCGAGTTGGCGTATTTCTTGCATCGTCATCCCAAACCATTCATCGATCCACGAAAAGCAGTTTCGATGGCTCTCCAAGAACAGAGCCCTTTCCCCCTGCAATTTACCAAATGGTGGCAGAAACTTGGTCTGTTCAGTAAGAACTAAAAGAGCAGATTTCACATTTGATATATATGTGGAAGAGGTGTTTGAGTAATACCGCGATTAAGGCTTGTTCAAGTCTGTAACCGAAACCCCAGTACGGGGCATCCACTATTACCAACTTATATGCTGTCATCACAGGGTTACTACTCTTCTGCAAAGCACATACACTCCACAATCAATATAACATTCTAGCAGGTGTACACGGGGAATAACTTGAAAGTAGAAATTATACTGACCTGCCATCCATCCAAAAGAGGACCACGGCCAGTTCTTGTCGACTTGAATTTAGTGAAATCTGTAGTGTTGCTACCAACAATGTAACTCCAATAATCGTTGGCTGCTGAAGCTATATCAATAATCTCAACCTCTCGTGCGGCTAATTGTTCTTTGGTTAAACCATGCACCTATTATTGCATGGTTGGTTCACGGTCAAGAGATGCAACAGAAGAAAAATACTAGCATAAAGAAATGACAACAGCAGCAAGAAGTTTAAGCAAAAGAAACCAACATTTTCTGAATCTCCATTATCAGCTTTATGAATGGTATCCACAGTGAGGCAAAACTTGCTGAAGTATGGGCACTGTAGGAATTCAAACAAATTGAATTCTATAAGATTTCTTGTGTAGCATAACAGCTTATCAGCGCAGAACAAAAATCTTAGAAAATGGCAGTAGCATAATAGTTGGAAATGTTAAGTTTTTACCTTGATTACTGATTGGAGTAGCATTGTGTTGCATTCATAATGAAGCACAAAAAGGAGTCAATACAGAGAATAAAAGGAAACATATTGAATATGATATGATGAAGACAATTGAATCAGAATAGTTACTTTCCAAAAACCAGAGAACATACCTGTTTTGCATCTTGGGTATGAATTCCAGGCCTCTTCTTGCATGATCAGCGACTCCAACGATGCAAAAGCTTTAAGCCAAGTAGGTGCTTTGCTGCAAGAATAAGGCACAAGAACAACCACAAGTTAACCCCCAATCACAAACGTCCCTTGTATATATCCACCCACCATTGCTATATGTCCTTAAGAACTGACCAATTATCTTATTCCAGCGTCATTTAACTTCGATACACATGCATATTTGCTTCAATACATCAAGACAACACGCCAAAGCTAGAGAGCTAGCATTACTTGAACATAATGATCACACATCATAAGCAGTAAGACTTTACCTCTGGAATCGATAGAGTTTAGAAGTGTACTGGGACTTGCCCATTTGATCATCCACAACGGGCCTGTTCTCCAGCACTTCAACACCCTCGGAGCCGTTTGTGTTCTGCTGCTGCATCCTCATCACCATATACATCTGGGCCACCTGATACTGCAGCAACCAAGTATCCCCACAAATCATTCCTTTGGCCGAAGGGGACAAGAAAGGTCACAAATTTCAAATACCCAATGCAAATTCGTCAAATGGGTACCTCTTCAACGGACATGGGCATCACAATACGACTTCAGACAGAAATCAAACACAAATTTCCGAGGTTAAGGAAGACAGGGAAGCGCCCAAGATCAAAAATGGGGGGAAAAAAGCAACAAATTCAAACGACGAACACGATCATTAATTCATAACCTAACGGAGGACGGAGAAGTAAAAAGGATACAATTCTTTGATTTGAACCATGGTTCTGCGACACTCCCGAGTCTTCGCCTGAAATGGGAAGAAAGCTGGCGTTTTTACAAATGGAGAGGAATTGGGATTAGAAACGAGAGGGCAAAAGGGTTATGGGTGAAGCGGAATGGGCAGAGGCTAGTGGTGAGTGAAGACGATTAGGATTATGATGATGGGCAGGGCGTCAAAACCCAAAAGGGAGCAGACGAGTTCTTTTATCGGGGCGTTGAGAAATGTGCTGAATGGTAGGACGGTCGGAAGAGCCGCGGCTGTGGCTTTTAGCGATTCAGTCTTCAGCTTAGCGAATATTTGCGTCGAGACTCAAATTCTGGTTCTCGGGGGGTTTTTGATTTGGCGTAAACGTGTAGTTGTATGACTTTTATGCAGAGAAGACCGGCTTGCCTCGTTTCAGATTCTGCGTGTTGTATTGCGCTGTTGGTCGGCTTCGGCGACGGGCACTTTTTTGCTGGCATATTCGTTTGTTTGAATTTTCAAGTGGGTGGCTCAAGCCCACTACTTTGGGCCCAACTCATTTTATTTTTACCTCACATAATTCACGCATATTACAATTAAATAAAATTAAAAAGGAAAAAAGAAAACGTAAAAAAAAACCTCATCCCCTTTTCAGATTTTACCTTCCATAGTTCCATGTGTCTTTCACTTCCGCTTGAATAATTGCAATTGAGCCCTACAACAATGAAATTGCTTTTGCAATGCCAAATCAGCATTCCATGTCACTTTGCAATTGCAAAAAGTGACCGATGGTGATGCTCTAATTGGTTTATGGTGTGATACAAATTTCACAAATGAAGACAGACGATAAAATAGGAGTTTGACTTCACTGGTCTATTCTTTATTTGAATTCTTAGGTTGATATAGAGGGTGGAAGCGGTACGGTATCGGTATCCCAATACCAAATATCAAAATCATGAATATCGAATTACACTCTAAACTCAATCTCAATCACAATCCCTAAATAATTTCGGTATACTAATCTTAATGCCTAAATATTTTGGTATCCCAATCGGTACTTCGGTATCTCAATCGGTATTATAGAATACAACATTAATTACCTTTGCAAGCAATAATTAAATATATAAATTAGATTTGATTATTTAATTTATGACAAAGAGTCTAACCAAAGAGTCTTGAGTTTGTCTAAACCTAGGATATGGATAAGGAGAATGGAGGAGAGGTAAATAATCTAATTCCTGTCATTGGTAATCCTTAATTTGAATAATTGGAGGTTGAGAAACGATTAATACTAGTGTTTGCTTTTTGGTGTTATGAAAATAAGCAGAGATTAGGTGAGAAACGAGAGTCACTTAAACTGGAAAGTCAAAATTGAGTTTAATGTAGGCTTCTAGGTTGTGAAAGAGTGAGGAATGACTAAAGGTTGTGTGTTATATTTAATTAATTTTTAATTTTCGGTATTACTCGGTATTTCGATATATACCGATCCCAGTCCTGTAATCCCGAATACCGAATAGCACTCCAAAATGAATCCCAATCCATAAAAAAATAAGTTGGTATTTGGTAATACCAAATAGTAATACATTCGGTAGGGTATTCGGTATATCCCAAATACCGATACCAAACTTCCAGCCCTAGATATAGGTGGTAAATGTATTGGATGGTGGATTGGTGGATCCATAGATTAAGTGGATTGAATCAAATGAATTGGTGGATTCATGAATTGGATCGTATGGGTTGGTGGACTGATCCATGGATCCTGTCAGAACAGAAGCGTGCAATCGATAATCCAAACCAACACGAACGAACACAAATTTAACGTGGTTCACTAACACAATGTGTGCTAGCTAATCCACGGGCAGGGGGGACAAATTTCACTGATTTTGAGGAGAGTACAGGTTACAAACCAAATTCCAAATGGACAAACCAAATAAACTAACCTGACTGACCCTACAACAGACTAGGGTGATGAAGAGTATTTATAGAACTCTTCTCCTAATCCCAAACAAAAAACCAAATACCTTTTTCCCAAACATACAAGGAAAAGGTCAAACAAAGCCCAATCCCAAACCCAAACAAAATAGGCCCAAACACAAAACAAACTCAAATCAAATTCAAGTCATATTCTAACAATCTCCACCTTGACTTGAATTCTCTCTCAAATACCAGATGTACCAGACGCAACCAAAGTTGCCAGATGTACCCAGACGCGATACATATCGCCAGACGTATCCAAATGCGATCGAAACCGCCAAACTCAAACGCAATCAAGATTGCCAGACATATCCAAATGCGATTCATATCGCCAGACCAAACGCGATGCAAATCACCAAACTCAGATGCAATGAAAACTGTCAGACGTACCAAACTTCTCCAAATCAGGTGTACCAGAATCTCCCCTGCCTCCAAATGCCCCTAAGGGCGATCAACAAATCAAAACATGTAGCAAGTCCAACCCATGTTGGGACTTGCCATGCATAACCAACTTGTGTTATTTCCGTCCATAACACCAACATCAAATTCAAATTTCCTCAGATCGACCACCGCACAAATCCAAATTGGGACAAAAGACCACGAACCACCGCAAACCAAATTTGGAGGAAGAAAAACTAAAAGCTTCTCCGCCAACCAAATTGAAGACTGCCCCCCTAATACCGCAGCAGTCACCAAAATCCCTAGCCGATTGCCCAGTCGATCGACCAGGAGCGCGATCCAAAATCCGCCAAGACAGTTTCAAATAACCCAAAGATCAACCGCGGCTCTGATACCACTTGTCAGAACAGAAGCGTGCAATCGATAAGCCAAACCAACACGAACGAACACAAATTTAACGTGGTTCACTAACACAATGTGTGCTAGCTAATCCACGGGCAGGGGGGACAAATTTCACTGATTTTGAGGAGAGTACAGGTTACAAACCAAATTCCAAATGGACAAACCAAACAAACTAACCTGACTGACCCTACAACAGACTAGGGTGATGAAGAGTATTTATAGAACTCTTCTCCTAATCCCAAACAGAAAACCAAATACCTTTTTCCCAAACATACAAGGAAAAGGTCAAACAAAGCCCAATCCCAAACCCAAACAAAATAGGCCCAAACACAAAACAAACTCAAATCAAATTCAAGTCATATTCTAACAATCTCCACCTTGACTTGAATTCTCTCTCAAATACCAGATGTACCAGACGCAACCAAAGTTGCCAGATGTACCAAACGCAACCAAAGTTGCCAGATGTACCCAAACGCGATACATATCGCCAGACGTATCCAAATGCGATCGAAACCGCCAAACTCAAACGCAATCAAGATTGCCAGACATATCCAAATGCGATTCATATCGCCAGACCAAACGCGATGCAAATCGCCAAACTCAGATGCAATCAAAACTGTCAGACGTACCAAACTTCTCCAAATCAGGTGTACCAGAATCTCCCCTGCCTCCAAATGCCCCTAAGGGCGATCAACAAATCAAAACATGCAGCAAGTCCAACCCATGTTGGGACTTGCCATGCATAACCAACTTGGTGTTATTTCCGTCCATAACACCAACATCAAATTCAAATTTCCTCAGATCGACCACCGCACAAATCCAAATTGGGACAAAAGACCACGAACCACCGCAAACCAAATTTGGAGGAAGAAAAACTAAAAGCTTCTCCGCCAACCAAATTGAAGACTGCCCCTTGATACCGCAGCAGTCACCAAAATCCCTAGCCGATTGCCCAGTCGATCGACCAGGAGCGCGATCCAAAATCCGCCAAGACAGTTTCAAATAACCCAAAGATCAACAGCAGCTGTGATACCACTTGTCAGAACAGAAGCGTACAATCGATAATCCAAACCAACACGAACGAACACAAATTTAACGTGGTTCACTAACACAATGTGTGCTAGCTAATCCACGGGCAGGGGGGACAAATTTCACTGATTTTGAGGAGAGTACAGGTTACAAACCAAATTCCAAATGGACAAACCAAACAAACTATCCTGACTGACCCTACAACAGACTAGGGTGATGAAGAGTATTTATAGAACTCTTCTCCTAATCCCAAACAGAAAACCAAACACCTTTTTCCCAAACATACAAGGAAAAGGTCAAACAAAGCCCAATCCCAAACCCAAACAAAATAGGCCCAAACAGAAAACAAACACAAATCAAATTCAAGTCATATTCTAACAGATCCAAATCTCATACAAGCCTCGGACCAAAATGTAAAATTTGAAAAGTTTAGGTACTAAAATGTAATAATAATAAAAATCTAGGTACCAAAACATAATTTTTAATGACATTTTTCATAGAAAATAAATTTTATGTATCAAAATGTAAAATATAAAAAGTATAGGTTCTAAATTGTAATTTTCATTTGGATCTATGGATCAATCTATGAATCCACCAATTCAATTGGATTCAGATCAAGTGGATTGGATTAATTGGATATTAAGTGGATGCATTGAAATGGTGGATTAGATTGAGATTTGTTACCACTACAAGTGGGTGTTTAAGCCCACTACTTTGAGACCGTTCTCTTTTATTTCTTTTTCCAATTCATACTATCTTACAACAAATACACTGTCTTCTATCTTAATCATAATTTTTTTTCCAAGATCAGTTTTTATTAAAATCAATCAAGCAGAAGAGAACAAAAGTGTGCGGGAGTCGACCAATAGTCGAACTCCCGATGAGAGGGCCTTTTGTGCCACAAGATGGGCAGCCCTATTGAGTTGACGGGACACAAACAAGTAAGAAACTCTGCTACATTGTGAGGCCAAGCAACGAACGTCCTCCAGAATAGCTCCTTCGCGATCATGATTCAGTTCGCCACCCACCATTCGCCGGATAAGCAGTTGTGAATCCCCATGAAAATTAACAAAGAGGAAAGAATGCGTTAGACACCATTGTACTGCATCTCTTAGCGCTAAACATTCCATGATGAATGGGTCATGAATGCCGTCATAATACTTTCCAAAGGCGAAGAGTAAGTTACCTGACAGTTGATATCCAACAAATCCAATACTCCCTCCCTGCCCACGTTT